TATATATATTAAAACTCAGAACAACCTTTACTCATATTAGAATACTTGCTCGGATTGTTTTCGATTAATATGTAATACCTACATATAATATACAAGTTTATTCATCAATGAAAAAATTAGCTGAAGACGAAAAGCCTATGACTTGATTAGAAATGATCAATGGCTTTTAGTTTTTATGTCATATAATTTTGAATATTTTTCTAGTAACCGTTATCTTTAATTTTTATTGCTTAATCTTTTAAGGTAATTTTGCTTAAACATTCTAATTGCTTTCGACTTGTTATTTTATACTCCCATGGTTTTTGCCACAACGATGTTTTTAACTTTTTACAAATGTGAGGATTGCTGACTTTTTAAAAAATACATCCAATTTGATGCCCAAATTCAAGACAAAATTTTCTGATCCGCTTAAAACATAACAACGGATGTGTAAGGTAAATAGAGAACTTCCTAACGGCAATACTTAGCCATCACCAAATCGCGAGTGGAAGAACAGCGAGTAAAACAGTAGAAACTTCCGTACCAACTTAACTTCATAACATTGTAGTTAAATATTAAATTCAATATTATGAAATATTCAGTGCTGTTCATTCCTTTATGGTTTATTATTTTAGTTTTGGGTGCATACTTATTTAAGTATCCATAATCTTATTTTACGCATAAACGATAAAATGTATCTAAATGATTTATATCTCATCCTCTAGCTGTTATCACTAGGTTTTATAATATTACATCTATCTTATCGGGTATTAATGCCCAATCGTAGGAAGTTATCACCTTAATTCCTTTACAACTTAACACCTAAAAAGTGCTGCATTATACAATTAAGTAATAGGAAGATGCCAAATACCAGCTATATTTTTCGATGTAACTGGTATCCGGTGTTACTGTGCCTTTTAATATACTTTGCTGATAAGAAGCCTACGGGCTTAGAGCCCGGCGAGAGCATATATAGCACAGTAGGACTGAAAATATCTATTACCTGGTTTTACAAATGTTATTAAGAATCTATACACTTGCGTAGTAAATCACCAGTCATCAGCACTAACCATCTTGATAGCTTTTAGAACGTTATAACGCAAGTGCAGCTTTGTGGCCCCCATATATAATTATTTGAAATTAATGCGCGTCAAATATATGTCAAAGCTAACTGGTGGAATGGCGTTTTGTGATTGTATTATCGGTGCACAGTAACAACGAAAACATTACAACAGAGAAGAAAAAAGGGGAAACATCTTATTGGCAATCGGTCAAAATTGCCTTTCGCAATCAGCACGTACTAATTGGCGGATAAATGCAAGACTTCCCTGAAGTTACCTTTACAGAGTCATCAGACTACCTATCAAATTCGAAAAACAAGTACAATAACACGGAAACTTCGCAAGCAGTACATACTTTGATATTACCTGAGTCGGATGAGTCTGAGGTCGTGGTCGTGTGTCGTTTCGGTGAGGAGGTCCGCATTCCCAGAAGGGCCTTACAGGAAAACATGCTAACAGAGTACGCTAAGCGTCTTGGGGAAAGTCAATGGAAATCGGACGGTATGGCATTAAGGTCTGGACAGCTCTTTTATGCGGTGCAATCGGTTGCGACCATGATTCGTGGCCATACGGTAAGGGGGTCGTAAAAGTATTTTCATCTGGTGATTGATTAAACAGGAGATACTGATAATGATCCAAATAGGTGGATTGAAGTTTCTTAAGTGCTATGGACAAGAACTGCGTCATTCATAGCTTTTGACAGAACAAAATGAACTTCCAGCGACCTTATTTTTGAGCTTGGCCCGATTTTTCTACAACTACCTAAATTGAAAACTTTGTGCTATTAAATCTCTCGAGAGTACGATATTTGACCGTAGTTTCTTGAACCGTGACTGAAGTAGACCGAGTAAAACTGAGTGACAGGCTCTTTCGGGGTTTAGCGTGTTATGACCAAAACGTTCTGAAATTCGTAGGTGGAATTAACTGAAGATAATGTGGGTGACATCTATGCAGCTGCAAAGGAGCTTCAAGTTGGGCATCTACTAAGTCAGCTTGAAGACTATTTGGTTGACCATATTGACAAGCTCGGTACACCGCATCTTGAAAAGCTTGATGCTGCCTTATTTGAAAAGTTACTACTTAAGAAAATGCGCAGTGGATCTTCGTCTATAAAGACAGGTACTATGATCTTTAAACTTGACTAATGGCTTCGATGGGTGAGTATCGTAAAATGTGGGCTAAAAGCTGAGAAATGACTTATAAGGAGTCGTTAGATAAAAAAGAAATTATCCTTTACGAGTAATACGAGATGTCATGATATCCAATAAAAAGCGTATTAAATATTCTTTTTATGACGTTCCTTCTAACAGGTTCTGCTGGAAATAATGGTGGTAACGATGCCTGGCGTTGGGCTCGAGTCCTTTTTCGGTGGTGGAGGGCCGATCTTGGTAAACGGAGAGACGATTTCACTCGACTTGCTGAACAGCTTTCGTACACTGCGGACGCGTACAGTTACTCAGAGAGCTGTTCTTCAGATCAGAACGACGATACTCTGTCTCGGGTTGAAATACCTCGAAAAAACTCGGGTGTGGTCGCCGGAATACCAACATCTGAAGCATCGCAACACTCCAGACTAGTTGTAGTAGCCGGAAGATTGTGGAACGTTGAACTTGAAAAAGAGACGTGCGTATCGCTAAGAATGTGTGCTTCCCCTTTACAGAGTACAGTCATCAAGAACTCCGCACTGACAGTTTCTCTTAACTGTGTTACGAAATTCAATGTAAATCAGCCTGTTACTGCTAGCATCACATTACAAGGCCAACTAAAAACGATTAGAGGTAACAATAGACCGATTGAGATGGCAGAAAAGATAATGGCTGTTTTGAATTATCGAGGCTTGAACATTTTTTGGCTCGAAAATAAAACGTTCTGGATTTCTGAAATTTCGGATGTTCTAGAGCCATGTCCAGAAGACCTACTTGAAGATTTGAGGCTCACTGATCTTCCTTTACCCCCGTACAAGAGTTGGTTGGGTCGACTATGTACGGGAGGAGACGGTTGCGTTTTACTCTATTATTTTTGTTGGGGTCTGTTTCTTCGCCGCCCCAATGAATCTTCGTGGAAGCTTCTTTCCGAAGAGCTCTTTGTTGAGTATCTTTCACCAATTCCATCAAGTTCGAACGCATTTTATATTCTCGCTTGGAAAGGATACTCATTGCAAGCCTACAAAACAGGCGACCTCTCACTAACATGCTATACGTTCATTCGAGAGGTACGTGTGGTTTCCTTTCGTGTTCAACTTTCGTTGAACGCGCAAATGAGGCTTCTAATATGTGATAGTTTCTCACTTTTACTTTAAGCTAAAAGAAAGACAAGAGAAAAAGGATTGAAAAACACTTAAAAGCGGGGTTTCCAGATAGAATTTAGGTTTACAGAAATGTACGCGAATGACACATAGGTTGTGCAAAAAATGAAATATAATGAACGAATTTTAGATCTACGTTCATAACCAGACAACAAAACATATTCATGTTCTTTCGTTGCAGATGGATGCCTGCGTAAACGGAACTTTTTATCGTCGTTCCCGAGTGGTGAACGAGCTCAGCTGGGCTGAGAATGTCGTTCTCTATATACAACATCCAACTGAAGATTTCGTTCATTTCGAAAGACACAACATTTTAAAAAGTGACACTCTTGTAGCAGTTGTATCTACAAAGTACTCTAACAAAATAAAGGACACGGCAACTATATAGATATTTAGTAACAAGCCAGCTTAACCTCTTTAGAAGTCTGACTACTATGTACCGTATGCATAAGTCAAGCAATTCAATACGTAAGAATAACTGTACCTGCATTAGGTCTTAAGTTAAGAATGTGATTAAAGCCGAATCCAATGCGTATATTATATATTCCAGCATGAAGATATAACAAAACAACTATGATTGAAAACGAAATTGCCAAAAATTGCTTCCAATCAATTCCATCATAATAACGTATTCTACTCAAAGCGATGCGTTTCCCAGGGTCTTCATGACTGTAAGTGTCGATTAGTCTAGTTCTAACTCGAGCAGTTCTCGACCAGATTGTATCAGTCAGTCCGAACTATCAACCGTTTGATTGACTATATACGGTAGTAACTATCTTGACCATGCAAGAATGATGTGGAAATTGTGACAAGGAGCGCTTGAAAAGCAAGCGCTAATCTCGAAATAAGGCCATGCCTCCGCTGTGTAATGTGTGTAAAATTTTACCGGCTCAAACAAATAGAAAAACACTAGTCATAACCAGTAAGATAGGATAGAAGAAAACAAAATCAAATAATTATCTTATACGTAACGTTCATTTTATTGGAGCGCAGCAGCAGCTTTTCCGAAACGCCTTAGTATCATTTCGTGACTTTGCTACCTGCAACATTTAAGAAATTCTGCCAATTCAATCATGAATGATGATGCGAGTATTACAGAAGCGCTTGTATTATATACATCAGATTCGAACCAGTCCAACCATAGAAATATCGTAATATTGCAGATTCTGGTGGAACGTAACAAATGTATCGGTCGTACGATATAAATTTGAGTCGAATTTGTGCATTTGCACATAAGTTCTGGCCGTATATATATTACACAGAATAAATAATTACGTTAAGATAAACTACGTAACCTTTCATGTACTTTACCCACGACGACAAGTGCATTCTATTAATCAATTTCGTTTATCCCATATATAAACTGTTAGAAACGTTAACAATAAACTGTTGCTAGTTCGACCGCGGTTAGTATTACATAGAATCTGTATTATCGATTTACGATCTTTTAATGTTTACTAATTTATATATACAGAAAAGTTTTGCTACAGCTAAACGCTGCCAACTAACAATGATTTCGAAACTGATGTGTATCGCAAAAAAGCTATTGTGTTATCATAAAACAGTTCAATCATCGATCGAATGAGTCTTTTGAGGAGGAAAGCTGAGCTTGCGGTTAGTATTGCTCTTCTGTATATGGTGGACTCTTGTATTTGCTTATGCGTTTTATTTGTGAACAAATTATTTATCCCGTTTTTACTGGTACTGAATTATCTTTGCGCTAAACAGTGAAGTAAATAAGAAATACAAAATTATCCAACGGGTTTCAGCCATAGTTCCACCATGGCCTACGTTGACTATGGCCTAGAATAGCAAAATATATTTGAACGACCTTGACTATTAATGCTGTAAATAAAATGAATACCTTTTCTCAAGCTTATATGTATATATAAATATATTAAATGCTATATTTACCTACTAGAATGAAGTCCAGAGGAAAAGGTTTTCTTACAAAGTTACACTAGAATTATTTGTTGGAAGGGAGTAAAATGCTTCTGACATCTTCTGGTGTTCGTAAATGGATATCACTGTATCCGTTCACTGGATCTGTGACTATTGTGAAGAGCTTTTCATAGCTGTCGCAAAGAACCGTGAGTGTACGTTGTCGAACTTCTTGCCGATGTAGACCGCTTAAAAGCAAATAGACCTGAAAAGCGGGAAAAAACAACGAATCTGTACAAGATCAATCTCTATGTCTTGTATTATTACGCTCAGAAGAAAGAGACGTGTTGATGGCAGATTTATAAGCTTCTTTTTCAACTCTATAAGGCATATGTTAACTTCATGTTTGATTAATTATTTGGTCTATGTTGGTTAATCTGCCTTCATATTTTGCTCCTAAATGTAACTTTACAAAATAATTTGACAAGCCTTTGTCTTGCATTTTCTCGTTGTTCGTTTTCCTTTTGCAGTTTTTAGTTTTCACAGAAAACATAGGTCAGGTTGAAGCCTGAACTTTTGTCTAATTAAATATTGGTCACTTGCATTCACATATATATATATATACATGTATATTATACGAGACCTGGGACCTGTGGAAATTTCACCACAAGCTCTCCCTCTCAGCGGCCATAAACAAATTGGTGGGTCCTTTCAATGTGTAAACCTGTTCAAATAAAGTTGAATAACACTTTTTGGGGCTACGACATGGCATAATTCGTACTTGGGGTATAGTCATCAGGTCGGGCTTGTCGAGGAACTCCTCTAGTTTATGAGCAAACATTTGGGCGGCTATCGAATCACATCCGGGAAGTGCAGACGCTGGACCCCCAAAACCGCCTGGCGTTGTACTAAACTCCTCTGTCATGCGGTAAAGTGCACTCATATCGAGGGATCCTAGTAGCTGAGCGCACTGCTCTGACACTAACGTCGCGAGGTGGGCATCCACCTGTAATGCAAATGACATAGGTGTTCTAGATGCCAGGTACGGCTTGGAAGTAGTTAGGTTATGCCAAATACACTAACTAATTATTCAGCAACTGCATTCGTAGCAGCAGGATACCTTTGTGGCAAAACTTATTGTGCTAGTAATTCCATTAGAAAATTATAAGGAATTCTGGGAAACAAGTTGAAAAAAAAATTCAGTTCATCGCATGCAGTCTGACACTTCTACCTTGATGTCATATTTTTTTGCCCTCCTGGTCGCCACTATAGGTCTCATGCAATTTCCTAAATCTTAAGATTACGGAGACTAAAGAAAAATACGACAGGTAAGACCATCAGCTAACAAAATTTCGCCTATTACTAACTCTTCATTTGACTGCTGCTTGATTAAGACTAACAAAACATTTTTAAACATATTTAATATTGTAATGATCTTTCTGTCTAAATCTACTTGAGCCAAGCTAACTATAAAAAATTCGATACCTGAGCTTTACATAGTTCCAGCTTCCCTTCGGTATGCTCGTATACGCAGAGAACGGTACAAAGTGTGTAGAGGCAGTTAGTGATATAAGTGGCCATATCTACCGGTGCCTGTAGTTTTGAGGCAGAGAGCTGGCAGCTCTGCAGGAGCGGGTCGATCATCAAATCCAAAATTTGTCCAATATCTTGCTGGCGTTCTATAATAACAAAACAGAAATCAATCCCCTGTTGCAGGGTCCAAATTTCAATAAAATAAATTGGGGGCCACCTATTCTCAATGTATTCATTTTATTTAAATTGTTTCTCCACGAGCAAGTTGGAAATGTAGACGAATTACCGTTCATAAGAACGCACAAAAGATGTTGTTCTATCATGGATTTGAATCAGGGTAAACTCGCGGAGCTTCTCTGACAAAACCATTGTTTTGAGGTTCAGCGTTTACAAAGGTACCATGCCTCGCGGATTGGGCGTGCTGTATTTCTTATGGCTCCGTTTTCGGAAGGTTTAAAAAGCGTTGAAAAGGTTTAAAAACCCTGCACCTTGAGCATTTACGAGAAGTTTGTACCAAAAAAATCTATCATAGAAAAGCTAAAACATATTGGTGACTTCAAGTTTTCGCTGATGGAAATACTCTTGCGGTCAATACAGTAAGGTTTATTTAGCTAAAAAATTTAAGCCCACAGATCGTGCGAGACGCCATAGGTTTACTGTACGTGTCAGAGAGCTGTTGCAACGCAATCTTAGTTTCATTGGATCATCTTCTCAATAGATACGCGTTTCTAGCATGCAAGACCAAAATATAAACGAAACCGATGCTTGTCGATATATCAGAACCCTCACACTATTTACAAGCATCTACCTTGTGTAGTTACGGTAACCACTGGATCACTTTTTGAAGCCTAATTTGAATTGCTCTCGTTAGAGGCCTCTTCAAATACTTTTTTTGGCTGAAGCTTTTTGAGTCTTACTTGCCCGATATGCGCTATAGTTCCACATTCGAAACGCTGAACTTATTGAACTTAGTTTTTACGAGGCTGTACATGCTGTTCATGCTTTTTCCGCGGGATTGTTTGAAGAGCTTGTTAAACTAAGTTTTCGATGATGGAGGGCTGAGCGAATGTACCTGTCACGAAATTTTACCAGTTTCATGCTCGACTCACATGAAATTCTCGAAAAATGTTTTGTTTTGAACTTGAAAAGGTAGCCGATTATAGAAGATTTAGAATATGACGGCAGCAAAAGTTGCCGCTTTTACCATGGTCTTCGTATTATGCATTCGACAAACTAGTGTCGTTTATGTAAAATTGATACATCAGCAACCGATAGCTTTATATTATTACCCTCAGTAAGAAGCGAATCCTGACAGGAAAGTATTTGCCGAAGCAGAGTAAGGGTTGTCTGAAAAGAAAATAGTGATGCCGTATTATTAAGGCAGGTAAACTTGTTTCCTTTTTTGCATCTTTGAAAGATTTATTTAAATATTTCTATTTCTATACTATCTACCATTATTTTTTTAATTCTTAAATGATTTTATTGGGAAGCAGCCGGTAGCTTATAAATTTAAATTAAATGCTTTACTTTTAGTACTCTAATTAGTCACTACCGCGTGTTAAAATCAAAATTACGTATTATTAGCTCATGTTTTCATGAGGTGCAAAATGCACTATGCAAAAAAATCTATGGAAATTGAGTTCTGAATAAATCGAACATTTAGATGAAAGACACTAAGATTTCTATTAAGCAAGTGATGACTCTGCGTTTGGAAGGCTCTAAAATACTTACCTGGAAGCACTGCGGGGGGCCCAAATCGGCAGGAGGGCTTTCCACTCGCTCTAAAAGGCGCGTGGTATGTCCTACGAGAGAATTGGTAAACAGTTTTTTGCTCAGAGCCAACAATTCGCCCAAGGTGTAACACAACAATGAGTCACGTATGTCAGCTGAATCTAAGGGCTGAACATCTAAAGAAGCGTTGTAGAAGTTCACCATGTTCCAAATGCGATATAATGTCACCGCGTTTGCTTCCTGAGTCATGATCTATCGAAAAAAAAATTTAAATAGATGTTTTTTGTTAATCGCGAGTATACAATATAATAGGAGCTTTTAAAAGCATACACCATTAATTATTAAGGAACTTACACCAGTGTATATCGATAATAGTCACTTAAATAAGATACTGAATTTTGAGTATCAAGCCGCAGACCTGTTCGAAACGCTGTTTTATAGGCAATGACAGGCCTTCTGTAATGTGAGCGATTGCTTGACTAGCCATCGCTTCGAGGTCACAGGTCTCACACTTCGCTATTAGAACTTTAAAATTCTCACGCTCCGTAGCCACCGTCTGATGTACCCAGGCCAAGATGTCACCTATATACCTGTACTAGCAAGCAAACGTATAAACCATTGATATTTGGTAAACCGAATTAACAAACATATTAAGTTGTCAATTACACCAAACGCTCCTCTGAAATATTTATATATTAATTAAGGATATGAGAAACGGGTACGGATGTGGACTAGTTTCGGCCTGAGCTCGAATTGGCTTACAAACTACACAGAAGGTTTACCTTAGTGCATCTCTGGAATAGAATTCGATGGGTTTTCCCCCGCCAGGTGTGGTACGAGTGAGAGCGTCAATAAAGCTTCGGAGTACGGCTGCTCGGCGTGCGTTGGCATATTCAGCTAACGCCTTCTTAAACAGTAGTGGTCGAGCGTGTAATGCTGCTAAGCCCTTTGACAATCGGAATAACGTACTTTCGTCGGTTGTAAGACGACATTCTGATTGAATCCACCTTCAGAGACCAATGAATAACACGTACGTCTATTAAGTGGATAGATCTAGTACGTGATGACTTAAAAAGACCCCTATTTTAAAATTAAGTTAAAACTTTTTAAATTTTTCCGGTGGAGCTAGAGTCTTTAAATCTTCAGATATTGCTAAGGATGGTGTCGTAATGATACCTGAAAAGATGTTCATAGGCAGCTTCCATATGTAGCGTCATATTTTCCATAATCTCCAAGCCGGCTGTCGGTTGTTGAGATCGAACCTAAAAATTCACAAGGTAGTTTGGGAACAACAAAGTAGTACGTTTGGAGAAATGACGCATTGTATTGACGAAAAGACTTACCCAAAATCACATAAGATACTTCCATTACTAAATAAATGAAGAAATCCGAATGCCGAAATAAACGAAGCGGACAGCATTACGAATTTTATTTATTTTCAAAATTCTCCCTAATTCTCGCTTGCATATAGGATCACTAACACTTAATACAAATACAAATACCTCATACCTCAGATCAAACTGAATTCGTAACTCCTGTTAGCCCAGGATATTAATTTTGATGAGGACTGCTTGAATAAAGCATATTAACAGCTGTCGATACACCGTGTATTTTGTTCTGATCTTACAACGTACCAGATGCTTGCAGTCATCGTGGATGCGACGCAATTTATCCAACGTAGCGTAGAATCCTTCCTCGATGGTGAGATTTTTTGGCGATCCATGCAGGACTCGAATTTCTTCTGGACGCAGTTGAAAATGGTCTAATAGAGCCTTAGCCAAAGCATGGTTACGCTCTAACCGCGAAGACTCCTTCTTCATCTTTGAAGTTTTGCTAATCAAGCCTACCAAAAATAAACGAAGTTTTCTTCATTTATTGGCATTCAAAGCGTCAGTATCTTAAGCTTCATTATATTACATCAAACATTTGTGTAAACATACTTAGATATACAATAATGCGCTAATTTTTTACCAAGATCAAAACTACATCCACTCCAGGCACTTAGGTAAAGCCACATAACGTTCAATAGCACATAACAACAATTGCAAGTATTGCATTTATGTTTAAATAAACAACACAGTTCTAGCATTTGCGCCTCAGTAATATAAGGTAGAATTGATGTTTTGTATATGCAATGAGGTTATCGAAGTACAATAGTAACTTCCGTAGCATAATCAATATGCAGTTTGACGATAATATGAAATTTATTATTAAACATTATCCATTGGTCATTTATTAAGGTACTTAGTTTATTTATAAGTAAATATTTGAAGTTCTGGGCACATATAGTAGATTTTGCTTTCAAAAAAAAAACGAAAATTCAGGATTTACACAATAGCTGTACTCCTATGGGCAAATTCAAATTATTTCTATTGACAAGTTCAAGTCTTACGCACTTAATTACGATACAACTACGTCGGGAATACATCCACTGCTTACCGTGTGTTTTTTCCTTTGTGGCGTTCAATTGATGAATCATCTGTTCACAGCAGTTGCTCATAACATTGATATCTTCGCAGAGGGAATCCACTTGTTCCTTTTGCTTACGAAGAGCTTCGAAGAACTCCCGGTTGACTGCCAGATTTTGCTTTTCTATTTCCCCTCGAAGGTTTCTAATGCAATAAAACAATTACATGACATATACGGAAATCAAGTTTAGAAAATGCAGTACGGCAGAAGGGGATAGTTTCGTTAAACGGATCACTAGGATGGCCTCGAAAACAATCTGTACGATTTGTGCAACTAGCCGAAGTAAAAACGAGGCTCCTAATGAGGCTACCGCTGAAAAATTGGTACGTTATAAAGTTTGGGATTGACTGCAATTGCAGGTATAATACCTCACTCGATGAAGGTCTTTAGTATGTAAAATTAAAATAACGTTTTTGTAGAAAGAGCAAGCGTTGCAGATAACAAAAAGTATAAAGCTGCACCAGTAAAAAGCACGCTTCCGGTATAAACGAGCTAACAATGTTGTCTATATATATATATATATATATATATATATATTGTCGCATTAAGTACGCACATGGAGACGACAGTGCTGTCATCTCTTTATTACTGCGATAGCTAGACGGTACAGACCTTCTCGTGCGTAGATTATTTTCAGTAACGAAAGTTGACATGTGAGCCAAAATGTCGAGAGTGTCACGATCGTTTTCAAGACCCATTTCAAACACGTTAGACAGTTTTTTCTGCAGGAAGGTGCCAGCCGGTTGTCCCCCGGGCTCTACATTTGAAGCAGATCCTGTCAGCATTATTGGTGGCTCACAGATACGAAGCAATTCTGTAAGGCAACATAACATATGATTATACTAAACCACACATTTAGGGTGTACTTAGTAAAGCGGTTTGATTGATACCAATAGATTAGGTTGATGTGCTAATAAAAATAGCAGTTTAATGTAAACAGTAGTGGTTAGCTCTGAGACATTAAAGACAATTGTAACTGCACAAATGATCAAGCACGTTTCTTTTAGACGCATGAGCTTGTTCTTATGAAAGTTTTAAGTCAGCTTCAAAATACCAAGCGTTTGCGATGTCCCAATTAGCTAATCTGCCAAAGTTTCTGCAACCTCCAAAGGAGTTTGTATCACCAATGGAATGCTGAGAACGCTACCGCACCATTTCGTCCAAATCTGGTTATCCAAGTGAGAATCTATTTCAATAAATTGTATTTTAACGGCACCAAAGACTTCCATCCCCTTGACTTACTTAATCCTCAACTTCGTATCTTTTCTGTGCACTAGTATACAATATTTTTCTAGATTCTACAAATATAATTTGCTTTAATCACAGTCAACTGACAGCCGTGTGCAGTGGGTGACGTTCTAAACAGACAGGGGGTTAGAAAATACCCGTAGAACATCGGATGATGGTAGAAAACAACGCCCCGCTAGTACCACGATGGGCAAGCCTTTTATGCACAGAGAAGAGGCGATGCTGAGGTGAATCGTACGGTAGCTAACGAATAATCCTAATGCGCATTTTTAACGACAGTGATCGATCTCGCACTCACAGAATAGAGTAGATGATGCAGATTTAGCTAAAATGAAAAAAATACAGAAAAAAATATTATCTGCGTTGAGCATCAGTTACGAGTGCGTATATGAAGTCAAAAAGTTTCATGCTTTCAGGACATCTGAAGTGCTGATTGTTTGATGAGACTGTTGTCACTGCGGTTGTTTTGACTTGACTCCTTGCGGCCTAGTAGAGTTTTACTTTACGGCGGGCTGCGCGTTAGGTTTTGCCATGGGTTGACTGTTTCCTAGAAAAGTGTTCTTGTTAATTTTAAGCTAGTGGCATTCTTTTTGAGAGGATTTCTGAAAGGTTTACACATGATAAGTTTAGATCAATAATTGAGTTTCAAATATAACTGTGGCTCACTTTTAAGGGTTAAATGGCGATACTCACGAACATTATTGACAAATGATTCAATGTGGATATGTAAGAGTTGAAAATCGGATAAGTATCAACAGGAAAGAGAAAGCTAACTATATCCGTATTGATATTGAAAGCTGTAATTATACAAGGTAATTCGGCCAAGTTATTTATTCAGCAGAAGCATAACAACTATATGGTAACCAATGCAATAAGGGGGCTGTACAAATAAAAAAGTAGAAATAAAAAGATTAGTTAGGATAGGGGGACACCTGCAGCGTTAGAGTAAATCATCAGCGAAACTAATCGTTGGAACAGGTCAAGGGGGTAACTGAATAACTAAGTACTGCCAGGGCTTGATGCAGTCAGGTAGCTGTAATAAAATAACATAACTAAAATGATAAAGTCTCTCAAGTTGCTACCGGGTAACTATGAAAATACAGGTTTGATATCGTGCCTGGAAATAGGGGTAGGATGAGTGAAGGAACGAACGAATAAATCAAATTTGTTAATACCTGAACAGACTAATAAAATAAGTGAAGCAAAATAATTGGTGAGTATTAAAACATTTCATAACTGCAAGAGATTAACTGGATCGGTGCGACCCAATAACTGGTCGTAGCACCTCAGTTGTACGTTTCACTATATTAGATTTTGTGTGCGTGTCTGTCATAACAGCGAACATTCTCTCCTTATTAGAACACTCTAATAACGGTAGTGTAACGGAGAATAACCAGCAAGACGAAGGCTCGCAGGTCACGCTCCAAGGTCAATGCTTGTAGAGTATCTGTGTATCCTGCATGTCGGCGAGATGAACGTTTGTGTGCAAAGGGGTAGTAGTATCTTTTAAATTTTAAGCGCGTCTTTTCAGGCAGTATGTCCGAAGACCGTTTGTTTGTAATGATAGAGGTTGAAAAATGAATCAGTTGTAATTGAATGATGAGAAAAGCACAGGGAATCATTTCAACGGAAAAACGGGGTTATACTCATAGATCTGCCTATAAGTTAGTGTGCATTAGGTCAAATCTCAACTGCTGGCTGATAACGTATGCAAGATCAAAAGTTAATTTCACACAGGTTCTATGCGAAGTTTAGTTGGATTATCTAAAAAATACGAGTTTTGAAGTTTAAATCAGTTAGTTTTCCGACATGACCCGTATGGCGACGTATATGAATTATTCTATATGTCACTCTGCTCTGGGGATATTGAATTGTTAACTTCTGTATCTAACATATTTGACCACTACCATCAAAGGTCAATAAATGGAATTGCTATATACATTTCTAGTCAGTGTAGAAAAATCCGACGAGTTCCTAGTTTAGTTGACAAGGGAAAAAGGCACCTTCAACTGGCGTATCAAACACTTGAGAGCTGAACACGATAGGGAAGATTAACGTTCTAACCTAGCCTAGAAAGCTCCATACACTGAGTACACACAAATCTGCTTTATTCCATTACACATCAGATCTCAGCCAAAGGTTTATATATTAAATATAGTTCTATGTTATCTCTTTTTTAAATATATATCTCTTTTTGATACTTTAATTTCGAGTGGCTTAGTTAAAGCCATCCTTAAAATATGAAAATAGACGCAATAAGTGCCACGTTTGCTTCTTCTCATTCTGGTTGTGCCAAATCTACTCCTGCAGTTCTGTAAATCCAAGTTTAAATCTTATCCGAAACTTTTTATTCACTGTACTTAACTCAAGCTTTGTCGCATTATTTGAAACGCATATATTCTCTGCCAGAAAATAGTTGGCGGTAATAGCGTTTCGTCGGGCGATAAGTGGAAGCCCCTTGGCTGGCAGCCCGGTTGCCTGCAGGTAGCCGAATTTCGAACCTAACTCTTTATAAACAAAACTCTTGTGTATCTACGTTTAACTTTTGTAGCATCAACGCTGCTCTGCCCTGTACTAGCCCTCTGGGCGATAAACCTAACTATCCATCGCGAACTATTGAGACGCTTCTACCTTACAGAATGCTCGTAACCCATAACGTGTCTGTAGCAATATGTATCTAGCGCGGCAACGTGATTTCTACCCTACTATCACGTTTTACTGAGGTTGTCTAAGGTGAGGTTTTGCTTATTCAGCGATGACCTGTGCTTCATCTGCATCGTGCTTGGTTGGTATCAGCATTCTTCTAGCAGAGGCTGCTGATGAGCTACGGTTGTCAACGCAATGTCGCAATCATCCAGTTTCTCCCCAGTGCCCCTCGCTGGCCAATTTCTATCACCTGCGGTGGCTTACAGATGCTATGTTCAATGGTAGCTGCATCTGCTGTCGGCGTCTGCTAGAAGAACTCGCACGAGCATCTGGTGAGTGACCATTCGGTAAGAAACCCCTTTGTCTTTCATCCCGCTGCAATCCCGCTCAGTTTGCTTTCCCATACGTCACTCTTCCACAGTAAAGAGAAGCTTCGTGATAGGTAAGGAACCGGCTAGAGAAACGGAAGAGGAGCGTTTGCCCAGGGCAGCAGTAAAGCTTGTGTCCGCCCTAAGAAGGTATGTTGTGAACCAACAACATACCTTCTTAGGGCAACAGTATGTGCGTGTATTCATTTCAGTTAGGTAAACAAAGCGATCTCACATCGAGTGTAACTCAAACGCGGGTTGTACAGACAACATTATCTTCCAGAAGAATTCACAGGCGCTTGATGTAGCCAGAGCAGGTGGTCATAGCACGTCGACGTTTTCAACGAGGTACATGTTCTAAAAGAAGATGCGTCAGTCAAAGCCACCATAACCTAACCAAAATGAAATCGCGTTGAAGAGGCAAAAAGCTCAGGTTGATGAGTCAGTCCAGATTGCTACCAAATGTACGCGCTGGATTGTTTCTGGTTTTAGAAAATCGAGTTGGTTGCGAGTGTGCAGCCATTGCGGATGCCGAACGCAGTACTCAGTGGCAGCTGTTTCTTGAATGTGTACTCGATAACTGTACGTGTATACATGCACCTGTACCTGTGTAGCAAATTTTAGCATCCCTTGAGATAAATTTAATACAACTTTTTGTGATTTTAAAATAAACGTCACTATTTAAATATATCGTTCAGAAATATAAAATTATGAATCATGGAAGATTACCTTCAAAACCGTCAGCTTTTTGCGTATATACAACAAATACAGTGAAAACAGCTTTCGTGTATAGACCTGTCCGAACGAAAAAAGAGCTGTTCTAAAAATCGATTTTTGCCATAAAAATTTTTTCGGTGTTCGAAACGTGAATGCGGAAAAAGCTGTTGACGGTAGTAGCCGTGTATCTGTGTTGTCATATTCGGTGTCACGCAGTTGTCCACTGTCGTTTGCCAGGCACTTGGCAACGAGCAAATCAAGATTTCGCCCTGCTGACGCACGACTATTTTATGGAGGTCAGTCAGTCAGAAGACAACGACTCGGTCCCGATGCTTCTAGATAACCGACTTTATTTCTAGATGCCAAAAAGCGACACACTGATCTCTGCTGAGACAGTTCGCATCAATGAATACAATATGCTCTACGGATAGACTAGAATTATAGAGTAGGCTCATTCCGTTACAAGCAATAAATCCTATTAGTTATTATAAGGTAGGTTATTTGTTTGCGGGCCACACCATCGCGTGGCGCCTTCAGGTAGCCAACAGCGTATGAAACTTTTTGCGGGTCTAGTTTTTGTATAAACGCGATGACAGATTGCAAGAAATGAGGCAGTATCTTGCTGAGTTACATACCCGTTCACCTAATAGTGATTCAAATCTGACCCATTGCAGTTTTTCGCGACTGGTCTGGGAAGGAAAAACTGGGAAAAAATTAGCAAACAAAGTTATTTTTTATCAAGTATTTTATTTATTGGATTGTCGGTCCGTTTCCTGTATGGCACTTATAATGAGTGATAACACATTATTATACCTCGTTTGAGATTATTTTAACAACGATCAAAATCTCATTCATTCGATCAGTTGCTGAGACAGCAATGTCTCGAATCTCGATCGAGGATTTTTACGAGTAGAGACCTGTCTTCCAGACGTCGTAAGAGTCTTCAGCGGCGCACTGCTTTAGGCGATGATATTGTCGACGCGTCAGCAACACTCGCGATAAGTAACAATCCGACTACTGAGCTGGGCTGGGCTGGGCTGGGCTGGGCTGGGCTGAATTGAAGCTTTGACAGCTACTGTGTTTCTGCCGTTCCTGGTTAGAGGAATAACGCGAGTGAGAGAGCAATTCGCTTATGTCATGCCGGCCAGCTACTAACAACAGAGTGCGTTTTTCCAGTGATTACGAAACCGTGTGCAATAAGCATCTGGAACATTTAGGCTTTATGAGCGCGGCTGATTCGAAGGTCGTGTCGAACGTGCCTGGACAGTACAAAAAAAGGTGCGGCAAAAAGTGTTGGCTCAGGATGGTTCTGGAGACGACAAAGGACTCATAGCGCAGAATCGTTGCGCATTCGGTTACCCCTGTTCTAAGCATAAAAAAACCGTGCAAACAGGAACCTTACCTGTGATACCTCATCAAACTGTCATACATATTCGCCCAGTGAATTAAATCAATGCTTAACAAGCGAGATTTATCTGTAATTACTGGTTCCATGTTTAGCATGTTAGGGAACTAGTTATAACCCGTGCAGTCCATATTATATACGTTGTTCCAGTTTGTCTTTGCTTGTGATCAACGTTCAACGTACTTCAGTGTCTAGGCTAGAAAATAAGCCATTCGTTGTTAGTCATACTCGTATCTTACAGCTGAAGCCTTGTCTATACGACCTGAATTTCCCTTTCTGTGCAACTATCAAATTGTAAAAGCGGATTGAGGGCTGTGCAAACAGAGCGAGAGCGCAAGCTTTCTAAATACTTGTACGACTTCTGCTGATCACAAGAGGTCGTGTTGCGTTTGCTTATTCAGGAAATCAGTTAAATTACAGGAAAAAATGTTTTTTCTTCCGAACTTTTGCAAGCCCTAATTTGCAAGTTTTTATTAGCGCTTTTTGATATTATGGAACGTTTTAGATGAGGAAGTAAACACGTTTCTTGATGGCTAGTTTGCGTGTCACACCGATTAACGTCAGGTAAATTTAGCCGAATTGAATTTACCTATTACAGCAAAAAAAATCAGAACTTTTTTTTAAAAATAGTAACTTTGTTTTAAAACGGTTTGACTGGAGCATAAAAGTTACGCGCGTTTGGTTTAACGTCCCAGAATGGGCTAGGAAATGCTATTTGAAAACGGTTCCCAAATCTAAAACTAAGAGAATAACATTGGACAAGAGATTTAGTATAAAAACATTGGTACGAATAGTACTTTCAATATTATCCCAAACATCGTCGATCGTAATCAGCTAGGAAAGCGTCATACTAGATACAGATCAGTGTAATGTTTTGATCAGAAACATTTGTTCTCTCAACAGATCCCTCTTTTTTTTTTTTTTTTTTCGCATACGTAGTTATAATAAGTTTTATCTACCGAATATTAGAGCATCTTGTTTATTCGTACAATAATATACTTGTTACAATGTTCGTTTTTGGGCTTGCATCTATCAGGAATTACGAAATTTGACAACTGATTTCAATTCAAGCTTAAACTGTTATTCCTCGTAAAGCAATCAGCGGACTTTCTCAAGCTTCTAGTAAAACCCTAATAAGGAGTTGTGTGCACAAACTTACAGATACTGAGTGAGAGCTGAAATAAGGCAGCAGAAGCGATGATAGAACTATGATCTCAGCCAATAATACATGCGCAAACAAGTATTTTCTTGGCTTGGGAAGAAGTTCCGGGCCCTGTCCGATTTGGCTTTCCAGATCGTTTTGACCGTTTTCCTCAGATACATGATCATCGAAGATACTTCCACCTTTCCTCCTCTATGCAACTGGTCACGCCTGGCCTGAACCAGACAACGTTATAGTTATTTGATTTTGAATAGTCTGATAATTGTGCTAAGCGCTGCTGTTCGTCCATTTTCGGCTGAGGAACAGCATCAGCTCAGCTTTTCGGACGGAACTAAAAGCAGACAGATTGCTACATTAATACATACGGAAAACTAAGTCTTGAGAGAAGCTCAGCTTGTGAAAAATGTGAATTATATTGTAGTATCTAATTATGCTTTTCGTTTAAATTTTGCGTACTCATCAATCATTTGTAGCCCTCGAGCTTAGCAGTAGAGCAGAACATTGCCCATTGGCAAATCAGAAAATAACGCTACAAATAATTGACGTGCCTACCTCCGTTCAGCTATCCTTCATAAGCTATCCTAAACCGTGCGTGATCCATTGGATTACGTTGTGCTTTGTCTTAGCCAGTGAAAGCGTCAAAACGCCCAGCCCATCATAGCCCAATTACATTCTCTTCTAAGCATGGTCGTGAATTGGCTTCTAATCAGAACATCTCATTCGATCTTGAGTAACACACAACAATGCGCTTTAGGCAGACAACATCGACGTCTGATACGCCTTCGTTCTGCCAGCTCCAAAAGACGAAGCGGGTTCCACTGACTAAATCTCAATTCAACCGGGTCTACTGAAAACAAGAAGAAAAGCAAATATCCACCGTGGACCATACATTAAAGAATTACAACGACTTTAATATGGTGCGTATGTGCCCGCTAATAACCGATTTTGGTGCCGTAATTTGTTTTCCCGTGGGATCTCAGCCGTCCACTTTTGTTCTGATTTGTGCGCACATATCGGCGTAGTTGCTTTTTTTGTGAGAATTTTATTTACGTTATTATACGTCTTGTAATTAACTATTACCTTCAAATTTTACTCTCCTAATAGACACGTTGCGGAGTTCAACCATCCAAGTCAACGGGAAAACGCTCTTCGTAGCAAATGTCGAGGCGTTTTTTTAGACACGTCCGCCCGTTCAAAAAGGCAATGGACTTTAACGGCTACCATGAGATCAATCTTTGTCATCCGAGATGCGTACTAATAGAAATTACAAATGCAAGTATGAGCAAAACGTAAATGTTTCTCTTTTGAAGCATTATAAAAATAATGTTAAAAAAAGACTCTAAAAAGAGTCTTTTTTTAAAGGTGTAGTAAAGAAAAATTTTGTTTGCGAAAAATCGGGTGGCATCTTCTGTGTGTGGTCTCAGTTGAAGCCTTGTCGAGCGATTCATTGAGTAAGCTTAGCTGGTATTATTCTTTATACCCGAACTAAGGGCAGTATAATATATCTATTAGATTTATATGAGTCTCTCCGTAATCCTAATGCAACTTTATGCGGATAGGCGCTAATCTCTGTACATTTACCCACAGTGCAACGCGCTTCCTTTTAAGTCAATAAGGCTGCTGCTGCTGCTGCTGGTCAAAGCCGACCTATACCATTTCGAACAGTTTCAAGGAGTCTTCGCACGATAACAATGCAGACTTGGAGCCCGCTCACTGTCTATGTTAAAACATCATATGGAAAAACCGTGCTTCTTGGCAATTCCAACGGAATTATTTCGGTGTCGATTTCCACGGGAGACAGGCAACGCCTACCTTTATTGGTCGTATATTTCTTATCAAATTAACTGTTTACTATGACAATAGCATGCATAGAGTGAGGACTTTTTTTTCTAACAGGTACTTTGCTGTTAATGCGTCCGCAAAGCTTCATTGTGACGAATATTTTGTGACCTGTCTGTGGGTCTCTAGTTGGATATGGCAGTCTTGGCGTTTCTTATTGTTCCAGCCCGTCGTTCTTCTCCTTGAAAGCTCTGATTGTGGTGCCTAGATTATGTGCATTAATGACCATTATAATATAACGTTACTGCAAACACACATTTCAAGTCTTATTCCAATCCTGTGTGCATTACCAATAATGCGACACAATTTCTATTTACTTTTCTTAGAAGTTCGCTAAACTGTATATAATCGTAAAACTGGGAGCAGTTTTTCGAGATACTTTTTGGACGCAAATAGACGTACATGATAAAAAGTCAAGGAACCTATATAATAAGTCTCGTAGGGAACCACTGGTTTCGGTGAAAACCACAAACCGCTAGACAGAGACAATATACTTATTCCCATTTACCGGAAAGATGTTAGTAGCTCAGTTAATCAGCGTCCCGCGTACTAAGAACTCTGATAGCCAATGGCGTTCAATTTTTAAATTGTTGTTAACTGCCGGTTGCCTCTGGGACCAGCAGTGAAGACCACCGTTGTAACATTACTTTTAATGCAGGTGCTAATGATGCTGCTAATGCGTCCTGAAAAGACTGGAGCAAAAAAGCTCCTTGTACAAGTACAGGTTCAGTTTGAGATGATCGGAAGATGAAGCTTGTAGCTCTTCGTTCGTTACCTTTAACTGGAACGAACAGCAGACTAAACTGTTTGATTAACCAAGCATCATTAAGAAGCACCACATCACCATTTTGGGGTCAGCATGTAAAATAACACTAAATGTAAACTCACGAGTTTCTTCTTAGAAACCTAGACAGTACCAAGAGCTCATTGCAGTGAGTGCCATTGTTAATGATGTTATGCCAAACGCATCTTAGTAAGCCTTTGACGACGGCCGTCAAGACCACTAGACAAGATAATAGCAGGCGCCCTACCACAACTCATAAGAAAGACTACCAGAAAGCCTGTACTCAGAAGTAGAACTCTCATTTGTCTTAATGAATAGCCACACCGCTAGAGCTCTGACTTTTCCCTAGACATTATGTGGTAGCTTCGTCAGCCGTACAAGCTTTTTATATTCTAGCAATGATTAGATCATTGACAACACTTTTAAGCGATTCAGTGGTGTGACTCTTCTTCTGAAGAAAACCCTGAATGCTAAAATAGGACGTTCGGCCATGTAGCGCGCGTTTTGATGATGATTACGACGATGATATCATGAACAGAGATGATGAGAGATCATCGTTCACGATTCTTACACAACGCGCTATACATATGAGGACCGGCACGAGTGCAGAGCGGACTATTCAAAAATTCGTCGCATCGCTCAAGCTAGACTGTATTTGGCTGGCGAGAAGCGACACACAAAGTACCGATTGCAACCACATGCTTATTCTAGTGTGGGTGAACTTAATGGCGTCATTGGCCTTGTTGCCTAACCATTACCTGTGTGTACCTTATGCCTTCATTTCGATATACATGGTTTACGGCACCATAAGTGTCCTGGGCCTACCACCTCCGATGTATTTTTTATCGAAAGAAAAACGGTTCTTAACATCTTTTAACGAATTTAGATAGCTGATAAATAGCTGTGGTTCTGTCGCTGCGTACGTGTGGACAGGGGGGTGCACGCTATCATCCTCTTACAGGTACATTTTCTTTACCCTATAATGCGTCGTAGCATGACAGCATCATAGTACCAGCAGCAGCGGCAGCGGCGGCAGGTGTAAAGCAGTTATCTTGCACTTCCTTTTTTTGCTCTGTTGCTATTCGTTTACATATTCACTGGCCTTTTTGTCAGCTGTCCTACATCATTGAACTCAGTATTGGCCGCAGATACCGTTGCTGCCATCATGCCAGCCGAATGCCAGTTTTCTCGCCGACCCAAAAATACTCGATATTCGTCACCGGAAAGAAAAGTGCAGATCTTCTCTAAACATGTGCGTTGTATGTGGCAGTAGTGTTAGCAATATGCCGCGCCTCTGCTCGTTAGTCTACTAGAAATATATGTTATGTCAAAGCAGCCGAACTCAGCCGATGTAATTCATCTGTCAAATAGTTTAGATCCTCAAAACGGGTCGTTAGCATATGCTGTTAGTGTCGTTTTTGGTCCCCGATCGACAAACTAACTCAGCTCCCAGATGCGACACTTTGCCACCGCATTTGTTTGTCTGAAGGTGGGTTAGGAAATGCCACAATGCGAAGAACTGAAGATCTACTACTACTGGTATTACTGCTGTAGTATTTGTTCGGTAGAGGCTTTGCGTTCGAGTATTTTCGCGAGAGGATGGGCGGGTGAGTGAAAGTGAATTGTCTCTGCTTCTCTCGCACGACAAACCGCGCCGGCGGCGGCGGCGGCATTCACGTTCAAGGGCTTAAGCGTAAACCGCTGATTAGTTGAAAACGCCAGGTGGCAGCAACAGCAAGACTACACGGAGGTACGACCAGACGACTGCAACGGCGAAGTGCCTAGTATCTTTGTCGTCTGTGAGAACGCAACAAAGCAGAGAAAAGCAAAAGGAAATAAAATGAATCCTTCGACGAGGATGATCTCGATCCGTTACGGCAACTCAGTGCTCAATAACGTTGACGCTGCGCGCAAGCTCACACAGTCACAGATGGAGCTGCCGCGACGCGAGAACCTGAATGCCAGCTTCAACTCTGAATGGGACGACTTCATTGATGACTTCCCTGCCGCTGAAATTTACTTGCACACGGATTTTGTCGACCGCGTATTTCCTACCTTCAAGGATTGTGTACTAGCCAAGGAATACGCGGATAGCGAAAGTGCGTTCGATGCCAGCTCGGACGATGGTGAGCACGAGTTGAACTGAGCCAGACGTAGCGACGACAGTTACGTATGGCTGTATTTCATTGAGCGTTTTACGACGATGAAAACACCAACAAGTGTCTATTCTTTGTGTCGACCTCTTATATATAGAATAGTGTTTTCTTATTTAGAGCAGGAGCAACGATAGAGGTATGATGAGAGTGCCCTCACGAATGCTGCTGCTGGTACTAGTACAAGACTTCATTTGATTCTCTCAGACGATGGATGACAATGACACAAAGTTGCGGGCATGTTCGCTGCTCATAACGGACGCATGCACGCTCTTTCAACTGATGCATTTAGCCTTTATCTGTTAACTCTAAACGAAACGATTTCCGTCAGCAATTTGATTGACATTAAAACTGTCATCAACGAAACATTAGCCCCGCCATCGGGAGATGTGTTCAGCGTTTGCCAAGGCTACCGTATTGATAGATACAGCCGACTGGCTAAAGAGGCTAGTTAAAGAGACTGTATATGACGGGAAATCTAATGGACACGCTTCGTATCTTAAACGAAAGCTTAGCCCATCAGTTAAATACCGCAGAGATTCAGTTTAGTTACTGGGGAGCTGGGCGGGAAGGGGGGATAGGGAATTTGCGGCCAAATATGCTTTTTTCATGGAGTCCTATTGTGGTCGTAAGGGGCAGTATCAGTTTGAACAGGACAATAGCCCGCCTTGTGGGCTGGTTGAACGCGTGGAATCGTGAACTAGCCGTCCATCGAAAATTGTTTCACTTCAGCACCACGGCTAATAATAGGAGGATTCTACTTCTATTCGCTATTGGCCTCGATTCTGTCTGCAGCGTTGTATTGATGTAACGACATCCTTTTCATTTGCTTTATTCCGTTAGGGATCAGGCCACATGTAGAATTAGGTTGCGTTCAGCCTCTTTTACCTGGGCCTAAATGGAAGTCGCGTCCACCAGTCAGACCCAGCAGTGATCGAATAAGCCTGTCCGCTTTATACCCTGATTAATATTCCATAGATGACCTTTGGTTATTTCATTTGAAGTCAATGAATGACGCAACGGGTTCAAGTGTATAGCTAATATTTGTTCCCTTCATGACAGCTGCTATTGTCGATAATTAACGTTGTTTGTGGTAGAAGGTTCGTCCAAGGTTTGTTGTGTTCTGATGTTTGGCAAGTTGACAGTATTCTCTAACCGACATATTTTTGACAAGAGCAAAACTGTTCGTGTTACTTTTTATGTATGTTCTTGCTCAATGGAGACTCCTTTTTTTGTTTCCACGTTCGTTTAGTGCAATAACGATTACAATGAATTCTTTACTAAATATGACACTGCTATCAAGCAAGTATCATGGATCAGCTAGCATATTTTTAAGGCCAGAGCTTTTGAATTTTCATACAGGTATTTGAAGCATAGGTGTTATTCTGTCGATAGGCTTTCGAAGTAAGATGGGTTTTACAAAAGACGTTATTGATGCGCCTATTGCGTACAATAAATTACGATCTTAAAAGACAGATGTCATTATCCTAAGTAACGGCTTTTGTGCGTTTCGTCGGCAGGCATCCAGAGCCCGAAGCCGCAAGGAACGCTAAAGGATGAATCGTACCCGGTTGTATGCAAGGTTGATCCGAAAAACTTCAGTTCAAAGTCGGCACCTACTTCTCGCGTCCCATAAACAACGCTTACACGTGTAAAGCTGTCGTCGAGAGACATCCGGAAGACGTCCAAGAGACAAAATAACAGATAGCAACAATGAAAATATAAATCGCAGAAAAGACACAAAGTTCACTATGAATCCTGATCTAGTTAGTTAGCCTGAGTCAACTATGATTCGAGTGATTCTGTATTATGTAATGGTTTGCATAGCGTGTAAAATGCGTACATTATTTCAGCATACCCTAGGCTTACTTATCTGTGGTTGAATAAGCCTTCGATAACCTGCTTGATGCTTTGAAAGGCTGTTCACTTATCATCTCCATCTTAGGAACAATCCTAATACATGGAAAAGAAGCGGAGAAGTTCACCTAAGTAATGAATATTCTATTAGGACAACTCAATGGCGTAACAGTTTTCTAGAATAATGGCGCATCCGCGAACAGAATTGCCCTATAACTTCTGCAGGCCTTCATTGTTATTCTCACTTTGCACCGATTTTGGACATGTCTGCCGAACGGTGTCTCTGAAGTATTAGGCGTCTTGCGCCCAGACGAGTTCCGATTGTGATAGATCATACATATTCAATACGCAAGCCACTTTGATAGATACGCATCATTGATAATGCATGCACATACCGCTGTTCCTTCCGTCCATATCAATCTATTTGTTTATGTCGTCCATTTGAGTAGGCACCATCCTGGCTTTTCCTCCGCTACCGGTGCACGTGCTACGGACCTATGTACTTCGTAATTACATTGTGTACACGTTTGAACATACACGTTGAATACTAACACGTACCCATGCCTCGCTGAAGCCTCCAGCTATCAATATATGCATATATTTCATGTACAAACCACAGGCAGGTCAAAAGATGTATAAGGCGAAACACGTACGAGAGCTACGTTGACATTGCTATTGATATATTACTAATGCCATATATCAAATATATGATACGAAATAGACGATGGGAAGGTCAATAACAATGTAGAGTTGAAAAATAGAAACCGTGAACTAAACGGACCCTATCTAGCGTGAACAATAAAGAAAGTTGCTACAATTGGTTCCGTGTCTATGTACAAAATATATATAACTAGTTTTTCTGATGTAGACTTAAACAGCCCACACTTCTTTACCCGTTATAAAACAAGTTCATTTTTTTGTTGAAATTACGAGTCTTTGGTAAGTTCTAACACGACGTATAGCGGTTTTGAAGATAACTTTCTTTTTTGTGCAAATTTAGATTTAGGTAAGGACATGTACTTTGAAATAAAAAAGAACGAAGTAAATAATTTTAAAGAATATGCTTCTATCAACAACGAATGCTGGTGGTTACCCTCCAAATGTGCGAAACTCGAGTTAAGCTTTGGTTCTGCAAATCTCTGAGACATAACGTTATGAAACTTATCAGGAATTACTGATTGAAAAAAGACGAGATATATTTAAAATCTGAGTACTGTATAACGAAATCACTGGGTTGTTGGAAATGGATAGCAGAGTTAGGATTGTGAATTTGAAACATTACGAATATGTTGTCTGATGTTTTGCGATTGTTTCGTCCAATTTTGGGTTCTTTTCTCACTGACTATGAATACTCTGCGTGAGAACAAATGCGCTTGAAGTACCAGATGAAAGAAATCTTTGTTAGTTGGAACGCACTAATGAGCGCACTAATAAGAGATAACTACTTGGCTTCTTTTTGATGTTCTCCATGAAGTGATCATAAAAGAGGCCTGAAATTTCCTTGAAGACTCGAAAGGATAGTTGTACGCCAATGCATTTTTGGAGTTTTCTTATATTTTTTTACGGAAATCGTGTCTTACAAGGATGACGCTTGCACTCCGTTTGCCCAGTTTTTCAACGCTGGAGGCACCAAGCCGGAAGTGCAAATTTTGACTTGTGCGCGCACGGTGAAATCGCTTTCGCAGGGGATAGACCATGTGCAATAGGCGTAATCCTGGAAAGAAAATAGTGATACAGCATAAATCCAAACAAAAGCTGACGGTTTTTTTTTTTTATATATATACGTATAAATGTTTTATATAAATATTTAATGACATATTCAATCGTAGCGAATCATAAGTATACTACTAAATTCAATACTTTAATAGAGATATCCTTATATTATTTTTAATCGAAGTACTTTTATTTAGTGGCATGACGTGTTGAAATGGCATTGATATATATATATATATCAGTACCACTATAATACCATATGTATATATATTCGTGATGAGAGACACAATGCGGTTTATAAATCTAAGAATCTCTACTATCAAACACGTGCTCATAATGTGATATTACATGAGATTAATTTAAATCTACTATTCGTAAACTACTATTCGTTAACGCGCGGCTCGGCACCTCAGACAGTGTCATAATCCGTACAACAGCAACATTCAGATCGTAGTAAGGAATATTAGGCCATTTTCTTAAATTGGCCTGATCAACACTGATCTTATGGATTTTCTTTGGAATTTTCACTATATTCGATGTAGAAGACACCAATAACTGCATCAATGACCCAGAACCGCCTAATCATATTAGTATGTGCCGTATAACATCCATTTGTGCATCGTGACAATCTTGCTTAGGTAGATAATTTGTCGAATTGCTAAGTGGATCTGATAAGAGTGTACACGTATCAAAAATTAGTTAAAATGTCGAATTATCTTGGTAACAATACACCCTGTTCTCTATAGATACAAGAGGCAGCGAGCAAAACTAAAACAGGATTAAACGGCCAGTAGTTGTGATTTGGATGTCTGCTAATCTAGCGGCGCTGTGCACGACAAGACCGGCATTCTCCCTCTCTGTCTCCGATCGTGATTAACTATAAGTGTATAAATACAATGGCGGCGATGATGATTGTATGGATCACTGATTCGTCTGCCTCTCGCCGTGAGCTCTTAAAGCAGCAACATTACAGCATTACCTTTCACCGTTTGTGTATATTTGGGCTCAGTGCATGCAATGAGAAGGGAGAGACTCATGCAATTGTGACGTATGGTTACTTCCGACGGCCTGGATCAAAAACGTGAGATGAATTTGATGAATTACTTAACCGAACGCGACAATATACTTCTAGCTAGTGTACTTCCGATATTAGATTAGATGCTTTTTTAAGCCACCCGGTGAGCTATACGCATTTCGAAACACGTAACAGCGTATTTGTCATTGTGTACGAGCAGTCTCTCTATTGACATTGAATCAACAGCCTATCAATGTCGGCCTTGGCGAAACGATCTCGAACACTTTTGGTCAGGGCCCAATGAAAAAATGAACCGTCCACAAAAATACCGCGGCTAGGCCAAGCAGAGAAAAGTTTCCTTGTTCGAAGGACTACTATTTGCAAAAACGCCTTTCGAAACAACATCACCCAGGAAACACGTATTAACAATTCTAGGGATATCTGCTTTCTTTTCGCATCTCTGCTATTTACCCTGGTTATTAAATTAGTTGGTTCCCATTGAGTATATACATTTTTGGGTATTATGTTGGTCCAGCAGTCGGAACGTTTCTGCCATTGCGGTGATAACATGCTCGCTATATATGACCAACGTGAGAGACATACGAAATGGTTTAAATTAGAATTCGAGCGCTACACACTACGATCTTCTGGCAGAATCCGTGAGGCGTGAGGGCGAATAAATATAAAAGAGTATGAATATGGTTATCCTTTGTTTCTGCTGGACTTCATTCATGGCCTTGAGCCTCCCTTCTGACAGGCCAACAAAAGTTCACACTAGTCATTTTCAAATTGGGCAAATTTGTGTAGCCCCGCATCGCGTTTTGCCTGCGGTGTTTTGCGAAAAGTAAACATCTTCGTTGAATATTCAACATTGTAAACGTTCGTTTGCATTAATGAATAGCCAAAGCTTCTCTGTACCGACCCTGAGATACTAAATTGTGCCTGGTGAAAAAAGGGAGGTACGTCATGAGAAGGCAAGATGCCGCCAAGAAGGCCAACTAGAAGAACACACTTAGTTGTTATTCGATAAGAGGTCGGGCGCCCGCACCCCACGACTTCCTTAGTGTTGTTTAAAAATAGTTTAGAGCCAAAATCTCTGAGGCACTTTAGATATAGGGTCACGCAAGAAAAAAGATAGCGCCAAACGTCGTTGTCCAATAGGATTACTTCATTTTTATAAGATCATGTGTGTTTCATGTAAAAATAAAAATGTTCTTTGAATATCTAGTTTTACGTAGATAATTTTTATTTTTTCGTAATTTTAGCATGGTCGTACGACCAATTGCTTGTCCTTGTTTTTTAAGTGTTTTTCTTTTGCCAAGAAGAAGTCCAACTGCATGAGCTTACATCCTGAAAGAGAGTGTAAGATATATGGGTTGGTTGATACTCAATTCTAGACGAAGGCCAGATGCTCCGTATTGATATTACGTAGCTGCTTCTACACTGTTCCTACTGCAAAACAAGTGTGGGAAACCCAATCGAAGTCCATGCCCTTGGCTGTGTTCTTTATCACCCAGTTCTGCAGTTTAAGTGCGTACAAAGCACTACAGCAGCAAGGATTTAGCATATATTGAACGCGAATCTACTGGACGCAACCACGCAGTACCCACAAACCATGCTTAACGATTTAGTACAAAAACAAGCATTTCATATATAAAATAATTGTAATTGATACAGAATTATCAACGGTAATTTTTAATAGAAATGTTCATTTTTTTTACATGACCCTAATCATGTAAAGCAGAAATAAGTATGAGAGGATAACATATGCTTGCGTGCATCCTTATCCTTTCACTAATGTGAAACTTACTTTATTATATGTATTACTTTAAGAAGTGTAATCTTCATTTCAAATGTAGCTATTGGCGGGAGATCTAGTAGACTCGATAGTTTTTTTTCATTTGTTTAGTGGAGATAAACCTATATTTTTATTCGGAGGACATTAATTATTCTGTATCGGTTAATGAAGTTCGTGCCCTTATAGAGAAAGCATGTCAATTGATAACCTATAGAATGGCATAAGCTTGTCAAATAGTTCATTCCCGTGTTATGAGTAGAAGAGTCAAACTTTAGCTAACAACAACTATCCTGGATAATTAAAATCCGCCCATTGAATCTTCTCGCACAATTTCCGCAGGGAGTCAACGGTGAGTTACTACTTGTTAGACTTGTCTCGTTACAGGATACAGTCAGGATTGGGCTTGATGAGTTTCGAAAGGATGGTGATGGAGTCGTCAAAAGCGTTATGTGCTTGATTGCTAGTCATCAAATGTGTAATGTTAGAGCCATTCTAATGCTTCGCTTCTCGCGGAGCTGATGAAAAACGGTCTACCATGTAAAAGTGTTGAGGGAAATTTTAAGTGGCACATTAAACTAAGCGACTATATTTTCTAATAGAGAAATGTCAGTGCCAAGTTTCAACAAGACTTGCTTTATCGAGCTAATGTGTTCCTCTACACACTGATATCGAAGGAGAGCAAAGGTTGACGATAATTCAACGTGTTGGTTGATGACTGCGAAAGTCGGTGAGATATATTCCTTTAAGTTAATCCAGGAAAGACATAACATTAAGTCAGAGTAAAGTACTCTGACTAATGTTATTAGATTGAGAGTTCCTGCAGGCGATTGAAAAAGAAACGTTTGATAAAATTATGACTACTTTTGTGACAAAGGTTGAAGGTCACGACGTTTTTATAAGATGCCATTTTGACGAATCTCGTTTTCTCAGTATATCAATTTTAATTTTATTGGACGAATATCGATGCTTGAGGTCACCTCTGCTGCAATATGGTTGTTTGGTTTCCACGGAAAGGTCGATTTGTATCAACAGTGAAGACAGTAACTGCATTTCTGATCCGCGAAAAAAAAATAGTTGGCGTAGATTTTTAGATAGGTAATGAACACGACCTGATAACCTCGCACGGAGGTTACTAATCGCGTTAAATGTGTCCGTTCGGAAAGTCAAACGCCTATGTGCACTATTCTGCGAAGGATTAGAATCTCGTGTGCGCGGAGACAACTACTCTTCGTACGTTATGGGGCGTTGTCGTGAGTGTAAAATGCAATGTCTATTCTTTCGATAGCCCGAAGCTTAAATTTATCCTAGCAAACACAGTCTAGCGTTCTATAAGTTCTGGGCTACCGAGACTACCTCATTTAGAGAGTTTCCTGTAACTGAGAAAAAATAGCCTTCCCGAATGGTTCCTGAATCTGTGAATATAGCTCTTCAAGCTTAAGCTTCGTGGTATGGCCTTAGTTTTTTGGGCATCAAGCTAATTACATGGAAGCTGGCTTTCCTTGCTGAGCCTATCCAGTAAGTTTTGTGAGGAAAATATCGCTGCAAAAAGTCTGATATAGTGAAAACTAATGTTAAATGGCTCCCAGTTTTGGGATAGCTATTAGCGTCCTCGGTCCGTATATGAAATGTTTATACATTTTTAACTAGGCAAGTAAAAAAACAATTATTCTTTGTTCAAATTAGAGATGACCTACTTTGTTATTTGCAACGAGTAGCATAGGACATTTTTGTCACTCATTGTTTGGTCACTTTCTTTTTTCTCGATGGAAACAGTGGAAAAATACGATATTGCTGAGCTCATATTGTGCCGCATCAAGCCCGATCCTAATTGCCGGAGTTGGATAAGGCTTCAAACTGTGCTCAAATAGCAACACTGCGTGCTTTCCATTCCCACACCTACCTTCAGAAAATATTGATCTCAAGAATAACCTATTTTCATGATCGGGAAATAGGGAAATCCTGTTACTTTTGTAACGATTTAGGGTTACCTTGGGCCTGAAAGGGTCTGGCAGTACTGAATATTAGGTTTGATAAGGCAGGAGTTATAGTTTGGCTGGGTCCTTCTCACAGGACAGACAGACTAATCCACTTAGCAATATTTTCGTGGCCATAACCTGGCAAGCTGAATATAGAATTAAGCGCACACCTTTCCATCAAGCTCGGCGTAAAGATATGTGAGATAGAACCTTTATGCCTTTACGGGAGTAACTTTATAATCCGCCACCCGGGCACAATTGATCTTCCTTAATTAATAATCAATATCCTAGAAGGTATTCAAATTTAATTTTTTTCTCCTGTCAAGAGATTTAGTCTTCAGTCATGAAGTTCCCTACATTCCTGATGTCATTATCTTCCCACTTAAACTTCTCAATCAAAGTTCTTCAAAGTCAAATCAAAGTTTTCAAAACTAACTGCTGAATGCTTGTGTTTAGTATTTAGGTCCTATAATGGCAAAAGATAACGTCAGTATTTGGTTGTGTGCAATAGATTGTCTTATTTTAAAGAGGAGTCATCATGTTGAGTAGAAGGTACACTCTTAAACTGAAACGACGGCTTTTTCGGCGAAGACTTTTTTAGTCTTCGTTAAGTTAGTTCTCTTAGTTAAGTTCGCAGCGAAAGACGAGTCCTATCGTAGACAATTACAAGATAGAAAGGTTTTTTCGTTTGTTTATTCGTTTAGGCTGATTCGCATCTGGGAACGAGAGCATTTTAGATTGCAGTATAGCGCGGCGTCGTAGACGGTTAACCTTTTGGTTGAAGAGTGCATAAGTTAAACTATACAGCATCGATTTATTATAAACACACAATTTAAGAATTAGTTGCTAGGAATATTTAACAGCTGCTGGTAAAAGTTTTAAAATTAAAGATTGGCTCTTTTTGTGCAATTTTTCTTCGGCTGTAGCGAAAGCCTATAGCCCTCAGAATGGAAAGTCTTTTTTTTTTAAAACAAAATCTTTGGTTTTCGAATTTTGATTTTTGTTAAAAATATGTAAAGTAACGATTATTTTCTTTTTCCTAACTTAATTAGATCGTATAGTGTTTTATTAAGAGAATGTTTATGTACGGATTGTTTCAAAACTTGGAACTCGATCGTTGAAGGCTTAAAGACGAATAGAACCGGGGTGTGCGCTTGTATTCGTTTGAAAGTAAGAAAATTGAAAGTTGTGATTTAGTAGACACAACTTCGAAAGTTATATGATTGCCTTGAGTAGGTAAGTGAAACTAGGTGAGTTGGGATGTTTTCGAACGCCATCAATCTCACAGATTAGCACAAAATTTATAATTGCCAAAGCAATTTTTTATTCAGAAATTTCCATTTTTCTCTGCTAAATAAGATCGGTATCCCATGGTCCCATGAGTCTGTCCGGAACAATGTTTTCTTTGCTGAGCTTTATTACCTCTTCAGTAAGTGAATTCGAGCATTCAAAAGCATCAAGTATATATTCATAGATAAAAGCTTCAACGGTTTTCGTGCTATTTTGAATGGAGGTTTGATGAGGCAATGCTTTGATGGAAGTGGCCTCTACGAGAGAAAATTCGTCTTATAACACGCGTAATATAAGAGAAAGATGACCCTTTTGAGCAATTCTCTTAATAACTGTTTAGTGCTTGATAATTACTCAATATTTTTCTTCTGTTGTACATTGTTGTGTATATTTTGCAGAAGTCAAAACTACCAGCTAATAACATATTGGCAGCGTTTTGACCGTATGCATTGTAGTATCTGTCCATGGTAGCGCCTAGTAAAAATGGTAAGTTATCAAACGAGATAGTGGTACATATAGCGTTTTATTCTGTCCATTTAAGCTATTCAAAATGTCGTTTGTGTATGTTGGTTAAAAGGGTCGGTCGACTTCTGTGTTATATTGTCCTGAGCTTCAGGATCGGTAAGTACTTCCATTCAACTGAGCTGTAAGATTGTTGGAACAAACTTGCGCTGTTAGATGGGTCATTTCGCGACGTCCCTTCATGCTACGCATTATATATTAGCAAATGTCTAAATAAAAGCTGAATACCCTGTTATAGCTCAGTTGGCCCCTGTCTGCTAAGGCTGTAGAAGTAGTGGAACACTGCTAAGCTCCGACTTCCCGACGTTTGACCCTATTCCTTTGCATGTTGCAAAATGAGCACAGAGGAACAATAAATAATGAGCTTCACATATCGTGGAACAGTATCATTGTGTGCTGTCTAGCTACGAAGACATTAAGAAGAATCGAATTAATCAAATTTGGCCAACGGCTTCCAGTGGCGAAATCCAGATTTGCAGACATTAGGACATTTCTATAATAAGATCAAGGATCTATTAGGTGAATGGTACAACAACTTCTGTTTGATATGTTAATGAATAACCAAAAAGCAAGGCGTTAATTAGGACGCGAACCACACACCCTGGACAAATCTGTGTGAAATGATGACATGATATTTTAGCAACCTAATATAAGTGTGTTCGATATGAAATTAGGAGATGCTTGATTCGCCGAACTATTCAAACGCAGCGATTTGTCAGAATTTCGGCTCTATGGTTAATATCACATCTCGTCTCTCTCTCTCTCTCTCTCTCTCTCTCTCTCTCTCTCTCTCTCTCTCTCTCTCTTGCTTTCTCCCTCTCTCTCTCTTTGATCAGACAACTCCCTGACTATGGCCAAAGTAACGAGGTTTAGGTCTCTCTTTTTTGTGTGAAAAGCAATACATTTTTTTCACCAAGATACGGCAGTATGCTGTCAGTGGCTATATTTATTGTTGAATCGTTTTATCGTCCAATGTCGCTTTCAATTTTTCAGCCGCTGATGGTACTCGATCGTCGACTTCACGACAGCCGGACTCTTCATGGATCCATGGGTGTAACTAAAATATATCTAGTACATGCATCATTGCTTTTCCCTGACAGCACAGAAGGGTTACAGGCTGATGGTGGTTCTTGCTTCTCGACTGTATTACTAATATAACAAAATGAAGCTGCTTTTTGACTTTTCACATTTACAAATAGCAAGCTCTGTATTCTACCTCTATTGTGATAGAAGTAAGGTAAATTTCGCGAGTAGATATTATTTGGTAAACAGTAATTAAAACTTATCTCCATTTGTAAACGGTAGAATGAATACAACTACTATAACTGTTACACATGTATTACAGAGAATGTAAAAAACATATTCGACATAAACAGGACGTAAATGTCAGCAAAAACCACTTAGGCAATCTCTTTTATAACTTCACCTACCTTGTATTTAGTTATGAAAACCGTAGCGTTAGTTAGGGTAGCTCTGTTGGGACAGCGATTGTGCCGTAGGACTTCACACTATTATATAGGCTTACCGTGTATAGAATAGAACGCCAACAATAGAACTGTATATGCGCTATAAATTTCGCATAAACCCTATTTTCTTTTAGACACACTTTGATTCATTAAATTTTAATGTCATTAACTGTAATGGTCTCTGCGATGTCCAGACTATAAGGATCAAAAATCGAGATGAGAGGAAGCAGTGGGTGCCCTCTTGCGGATACCGGTATAAGTGTAGCGTCCCTTCTCAAAGGTGTTTTACTTCCATAGGCAATGACACGCACGTGGCACGTGTTTCTTATTTATTTTTTTCTCTTGATGTTTTTCGCATCCGGACAAAGTGGTGATTTATCATTGTTAGCTTTAGTTATTGAATAGCTTTGATCTGTACTAAACAGCGTTTCTACGTCACTCTATTCAAAAAAGTTCTGTCTTTTCTCGTTTACTTACTTGCTGAAGTTCAAACGGCCGTTATTGTACATGAAAACTTAATGTATATGCTGCTGTTTACTTCAATGTATAAGAAATAGTTGAATGTTTTAGGTCTGCTTTTGATAAAAGCAGATACACATTCTCCCCCTATTGTCTATTCCATTTCCGACAGTTAAGCTACTTTGAAATTATCGCTACTACTTCGCGTTGATAATTAAGCATCAGAGAAGCATTACGCGACTTCATAGGACGTTAGTGGCCTTGTTGCGGTCATGCTGGTGCCTGAGGGCCTCTATGCGCCGTAACTACCTTGTAGCGCATACATACACACAGACGCACACATAGAGACACAGTCAACAAGCATCCGTGAAATGACTGAAGGTCATTTATTGTGATTATGGTATCGTGCCGAGGAATAATGAGGATCTATGGTTTGTTTTTTCTCAGTGTTTATCCACGCTATTCGTGTATTTACTTAGTATGCACGCAGACACGTGGCGATCTGAAACTGGGAGAATTTTAACTAACAGTTACTATTATTATTATTTGTAGTCTTCAAAGGCGTCCGTAGCGAAGCAGAGCACACTCCCAAACAATTGGAAAGGACGCAGTTCCTCTTTTCATCGTTATATTGAGGTCGTTCCTCGCCTCGCCCACCTGCTTTGACGTGGCTATGGTAGTATTTGTAATTAGGCCGCGGTGCGGACAAAATTATATTTCGGTTGGAACAATAACAAGGCTAACAGCTGTGAAGGACCTACTTGTAAAGATCTCCAGAACGAAAGAATCTTACTACTAGAGGTCCTGTCCCTTGTGTGCAGCTTTATAATACACCGCGATAGCCCATGGTAGCTAAAATGGTGTTCCTATCGTTGTATTTAATTTTTATGCTTCGGTTTTTTTGGTCATATGTACCTGTCTGTATACGCATATATGCTTGCCTGACTGTTCATGTGCGACGGTATTTACCACTTGTCTTTATTGGCGAACCAATTGATTCCGTACACTTGTCCTATATCGGCTTCGCTCTGGCCGTACGCTGTTATAAGTTACGCCGCGATTACGGACGACAGAGGCCAATGATTGAACTGCAATGGAGAGGACCACCTCTTTCGGTTTGCTCGGACCGTTCCAAATAGAAGCCTCTTCGATGACAATAAGCGCCGCTACCAACATCAGTTCATCCGTATCATTGTCTTCAGATGTCACTGGCATACAGGGAGCGGTCGTAAGGATCCAAATCGATGGTGACAACAGAATACATTTGTTGATATCTCTGATTCATGATTAGCAAGTGAAGTGTACGTTAACGGTCATGATCGCCGAATGAGTGCCATATGATGTAGTATTTGAGCTTCGTTGCTTCTGAAATTCTACTGAAGCTGTAATATTTCGTGATAACAGAAATATTAATCAAGCAGCAATGGCAATAATGATACCAAGCCAACGCGACTATAATTTCGGACCGGGTAGCGGCTTTTCAATGTATATATTTTCTCGTTTAGCGTGTCAATCGTTATTTCTTCGAGTCAGAAACGGGGCCTGTACACATTTTTTTCGTTTTGTAACGACTGACACAATTTTATTTATTTAACAGAGTTCATTGCTGACTTTATTACTCAGCTATAGCAAGCGTTGTTTGTCCATCGCTCTCAGCATGCATCGATCCATTATCGTTAGACTGTTCAACTTGATCAGAACTTTTTGGTTAGGTAATTATAAAGGCGTCTGTCCGCACTCAGCCATTTCATTGGGGATCCCCCATTTGGGTGCGCCTGAATAAACTGCAACCCCTAAAGCCACCCCGAAACCAGTTATGTGCGTATCTCATCATGCAGCTATTGTGGAAATCGTGGCAATATTGTGCTAGAGTATTTTTCTTCCATATTCGAAACATGTCCCTTGGGGCATACTGATTATATCCACGGCTAAATATCATCGTACTCGTACGTCATGCACACGTATGTAGCAGTATCTTTGGGTGGTCCTCTAATTTTAGCACGCCGTAACTAGCTAAATCTTTACATTGTTCAGCCAAACGCGTTAACAGAGAAATTTCATTACAGGACATCGAAAATTTCTAATTACACCTTTGGACTTGTAAAAGAAGTTTTATAATTCACTTATCAGGTACAATGTTGTTGGTGAAGCAACGGGGTTCCATTCGATCTTCAAAAAAAGTCGCCAATATTCTATCTTCTGAATAGGATTTTCTCGTCCAGAAAAAAAAGGCACGTACAAATTCATGCTAGCTATCTACTGACCGTCGACCAGACATGTGCACATGCACATGGTGTCGTGGTGTATGTGTACAGATGCGACAGTACGTACACCTACTGCGCTTGTGGATGCACATGCGTGTAATCAATGTATGTTCTGGTTAGGGAATAGACAGGCACCTTTTATTTGGACGAAAAGCAGCATTACAGCGTTTTTGTAAATACCTTGTCAATAATGACACGTTGTCAGAGCTGGTCTTACTCGTAAAAACCAATGATCGATGTGGACACTGTCGATATAGAGCGACCGTTCCCCTCAGGCGATTCCGCCCTGTCTTTGGCTCCATCAACACCATTTCCTTCCCAACAGGAAAGCATCTCTCGTAGACTTGAGCGCACTTCCCATATTCGCCATATGCAGATTATGGGGTCGAGGAGAAACTTTGTGCTCATCAAAGCTGCTCTTACCATATCAGCGGCCATCGCCAAATAATAGCCGTCCCAATGAGAGCCGTATAGCGGGCAGTGCTCACAAAACAGTATTGCAAATACTAAATCCGGCAAGAAGCCTATGCTGAATGTTATTAGTACATAGAGGGAGGTGTAGAGGTGATTACGCGACGCGTCGGTATATCGTGACGATTGGCAGCACAGCGAAATGATTAATGCGCAGTAAAGAAGCCAAGAAAGGCCAAATGGAGCCATGACTACAGTTGTAACAATGAGTAGCACATCTATATCGAATAGGTCTGTCGGATGCGACTGGCAGGCCGCGCTCGTAAAATCCGGCCGTGGCAAATAGAAGTACGCGAACAATAATGCTGCCCCGAACCACTCGAGAATAATCACACCGAACGCTCGATGTTTTGATAGCATCGTCGTATGAATCCAGATGACGGGACGGTATAACTCAATCGCGTGAATGATGCCAACAGTTAGAAGATTCAGCGCTGCTACGAAAAAAGCCGTTGCTGTGACAAATTGAGCCAGCAATGCCGCACAATGAAACTGCCTTAACGCAGGTTTATCGATAGCAACCGTCTCAGCGTAAAACAGTACGTGAATAAAAGCAATTAGGGTATTGACGAATAGAACATGCAAGATCAGTATGAACAGCGGGCTAGCTGGCCGATGTAGCCATCGACTAGAGGCCAATATCGTTATGGAAAGCGCGATCGCCACAATGTTAACGGCGGCGCGAGCTGACCGGAAACCAAAGCGGAATTCGGCTAATTCGTAGAGATCTTCTGGAAGCTCGGGACTGATCGAGTCCGAAGCCGTTATCAATGTCTCCGCATAAAGTGGTGTCACAGGCCCCATCGTGTACTTTGCCAGTATTCAGCTTCCTCGTCCGTTCGTCGTTGACTTTTCCGAGGGCGTCGTTGAGCTGATCAATTTAGTCCAGTCTTCTTTTTCTTTTGGTGATTTCCAAGCAATGGCTGCTGGCAGGGGATCGCACAGTTGCCCATATGAAGGACAGAAGTTGGACTCTGAAAACAGTAGCAGAAGAAGGACACAACGACGTTAGTTAGTCGCGGGCTAGCAGCTAACAGAAGAGAGAAAGCATTGCCAGCCGAAACATAATGAAAAACCTGTTGTAATAATTTTTGGCGATGGTTTTGAGGTTACGTTGTGTTAACACCGCACTGCAAATAGGCACTAAGTAGTAACTGGTGAATCATTTACGAAAATACCCACGCACATTGCTGGATTATGCCAAATTTGTGAGCGGTACACAACCGAAGCCTTTCGTGAACAAACCTGTTTTTTTTTTAAATTTAAACCAGCTGAATGAGTAGTCAACTTACTTTTTTGATTTTTCTTTTTTCGAGATGAACATATACCATTTCAATAGCGGTTTTCGCGGCGCAGTTGTTCTAGCATTATTTATTTTGTTCACTCATGACGAATCTATCTATATTTTTACTTGCTCGACCCTTGTGGGCGGCCAAGCGATGATACTCGCTATTTTCTCTGGCAACACACGGCTCAGGCGAGGTGATAAGAAAGGCGGGTATGTAGGCTGGAGCAAGGTATTGAAGAATCAGGACTATCCACAAACCAAATGGCCGACCTAATCTTTGTTTCTTCTCGGTTTCGAATCAGACCTTTTTGTTGCTATAGGAGACAGCTGGCTCGTCAGTCCCAACACATTAGTTCAAGCAGCTATTTTTGTTTTTGCACGCGGCCTGATCGCTCATGCCAGTAGCGCTGCTCACCCTAGACTACTGCTTGGGGACCGCGTAGACCGGCAAAAATTCGTCCGTAAGCAAAAACGCTTTGCAGCGATGACTTATGCATAGATTGCCGGACCAGCCTGTGGCATACCAGCAGCGTGTAGCAGTAAGAACCCCCATGAAACTACTGAGTATTGGATCATTTAGTTTGTGGTAAGATGCTCCAGTAACTCTCAAGCGAACTATGCAAACTCTATAGATCTCTTTGATTCTGCTTTACATGTTCGTTCGATGCGACCCCCCCCTGTAACAGTTGACAAAGTTATTTTTGCATTTCCGTACCGTACTTACCTACTTAGGTCCCGCCTTTCTCTATCACGATTGACTGTCTTGCTGACTAAGTGATGGTACTCGCACGGTTTTTGTGCATTTAGAGAAAAAAAATCTCGACGACAGAGGGTGCCTATGATGCTATCAACATAACCAAGCATTGTTTAGATGAGAACATCAATTATTATCATAGAAGAGTTTTAGTGAGGCTGGCCGCAATCTATGCGATTCTACGAGAGTGTAGCAACTATAGTGGCTACTATCAACAGGTGTATCATGCAATAAAGGAGCACCGTTGGTTTGTTGGCCATTGATCAGGTTCGCCTGAGCTATATTTATAGGGTACTATTCGTGTGTAGTTGTTTTCGGCTAATTCGTATCGGCCGAGTGACTTCAGATCCTTCGCTGCTGAAAGGCGATAGCAAAAAAGAAGCAGATGTACAAACAAAAGAAAGCAAATAGAAAAAAAGAAAGGAAAGACAAATGCACACGGGCATCCAGGAGAAGCAAGCGACGTGTTCTCGCTTAATGCTACCTGGGCGAACTGTCAGCAGCGTGGGTGCCCAGCAGATGAGTGCATGGGCCCGTAAAGCTAGCACTCGATGATCCAACCAGTTGCTATCTCTCAGATGTTCTCTTTCCGGAACGAATGTTCCATATCCGGAACGAACGATAACTATTCACTGGTTGAAAAGATGTGCCTCTCTACACTAATCTACGTACAATTAAATAGCCTTCTTACTACTGTGACAATGAGCCTATAGAAAGATCTCCTGTGGTTTCTACTATCCATGAAAAAACGGATATGACAAGACAGAGCAAACGAATTAGGAATGTGCAATGCGCGCATTATATTGTATAATCTGCTTACGCACATATAATCTATTATTTACAATATGATCAGATATAACTATTTTATTTTCTGCTGTGCATGTGGAACTTAAAAGTCATTGAATTTTCACGCAAAAAGGCTAGCAAACCCACGTTACTTACCGACCTAATTCTGGTAACAGTCACGCGGAAACTATAATGTGTATTATACACATGCGTACACACATAGATACGCGCTGTTTCGAATTTGCTTTCTTGTGTGTGATGATATTATCTATATTAAACTGGAGATAATTATATATGTCAAAGATCTGACGTACGGGCTGAATATGAAGCGCTGAAGGAACGTGTACAGTTTTGGACTGATCTTGAACTTTGAGGAGGCGATTTTGCCCCTCGGTCATTCAAAGTGATTATACACGCGGAGCCGTTGTACGTTACTGCAACAATAGATTTCCGCCAGATCGTTGTTATTATTATTATTTTTTAATTTCCTTTATCTACTCTCTTATTTGATTACTTTTATACTACTCTGCTACTACCAACTAAGGACCCTGTTTTTTCTGAACTGTACGCTAAGTTATTTACACAGGGGCCACCTAAAGTAACTATTTCAATGCGCTCAATCCAGGCCTATCTCAATTAGTCTGACACGAACGGAAAAACTTTTTTTTTTCTATGTAAAGGGTATGAAATGCTTGCTTGCAATAAGCACACATCCAGAATGGACGCTAACTACGGTTTCTGCCTTAATTATGCATAAAAAGAATTCTGGCCTTTTCAAAAAAAGTTTTCAACCATTCACGAAAAAGTTAGCCTATATGCTTGCGTTATTCATTGAGGAACTTCAGAGGAAGAGTTTTGATGAACATTTGTTAGGTGTTAATCTTCTTTTTATTCTTTTTTTTTTAAAAGGAGGAGGATTTTAAAAGGAGATATCTAGAAAAAATTATCATTTAATAGATAGACTAAATACGCAGTCCATAGTCTACTTTGCAGTCGACGATTACCACGAGCCACCAGTTATCGTGAGGCAATAGTTATTACTGTGCTTCATATAGCACAGAATTGAATGTCAAACAATAACTTCATTGACCGTGCTCAATTACTGATTTGTTTTATACGGGGTAGTATCATACGAAACGTCAATTGCTTCATGTTTAACATAAATTGCTAGAAGTTAGACACACAAGCGATGCTTAAATTATAATTAACAACACCAGGTAATTATTATTCAGTAATGCTAAGCAATTTCTAAGTGAAGCCGACTACATGATTGTTAGGGCAAGTGTAAAATCGTCCTTTTTCCGGACCATTTAAGCCTGCATTGCCTCACAAGTTAGTATTCTTACCTTAGTAAAGTTCCAGGCTTTCATGTGAGTGGTATAGCCTTGTCCTATTCGTCACTCAAGTCCAGTCTAGAATAGCTAAATCATATGCAAGCTATGGAAATGAAAATTTGCTAAGGAACAATATTATGGCTGTCTTTACAATGGGTTTACTGACCAGCCCGATATGTGTATGTGCGTATGGCATGCTAGAATAGGTTTTTTGATAGAACCTGAAAAGGCTCATGCATGAGCTTCACTTTAAGGACTCATTTGCCATCCGCAGGTCCTCAGGGCAAACTTCAGATATTCAAACTTGCATGCAGATCTACGAAAGCCTATGGCAGTTTTTGGGCTAGGCCTGGAGGTGGCCTGGTAGGCTTTTCCAACGTTAACGTTTTGAGCTACGCAACTTTCGCTTTCGCAACATACGTCCCTGCCGCACGAGTTAAAATAGAATAATCAAACACTATTATCATTGAATTGGTATATTTCGCACAAGCGTAGTATTTTGTATGAAATAAATGGGTCGTGAAACATACTACCCAGAGTGAGAAATTGGTCATGTTTAACAGCACCGATTTGCCTCATTTAACATTACGATTCATAGTGTTGATCTAGTAGCTTTCTCTTTTCTTGAATAGGCCTTCGCTGTTTGTGTAGCGCTATGATGTAATAGTTACATTTTCAAAAACAAACAGTTATACAAACGTAGACGCGAGTGTTCGGGTCATCATGATGGGCACGATGCTAGTTCTAGTAATAGTAGAACGCGTATGATTCAAAGGAAACTAGCTTCGCAGCCCCCTGTAAGCTAGCGTGTGGCCGTGGCCATCAAAAATGGACGTCGAAAGGCGAGCAAAAGGCCGAACGGAGCACTTTAGTAAAGCTCAGATGGCAGATGGAGTTTGTCCAAGTACAATATACAGCTGTTTATATTAAAACAAGCCATATTAGGTATACTTACGATATGGACGCTCTGAGCAAGATAGGAGCTGTTACGCGCTCCAGCAAACTCCGGACATTTATGGCGGCAAAATTAACTAATACTATAGATCTCATAATGCGTCACGTTGAACAGTTCTCAGTGATTGTAAACGTTTAAAATGTACGTTTCCGTACGTAGGGGCACGGTTTTAAAGCAGAAATAAAGATGCGATGACTGATGATAGCAGGCGTCAATATAATCCAAGCGAGTCTATCTGAAGCTTCGCACGCTTTGTGTAAATATTTTTAACTAATGAACAAGTGGAATCAATCTGGACTGCACGGAAATGCTGATAGCGAATAGATCTGCGTTTGTAATTCGAGTCTTCCAGGTACGGGACACACTTTGCTTCAGACAACTAAGTGTGTTCTTGACGCGACCGTGATTGATTGAAGGAAGGTCTTATCTACGACGCCATCTTATGCTGCTTTATCAGCCTGCCGTGACGAAACAGCGCGTTCAACACGTTCTTTTTTTACGTTTGCCATTGAATCGATAGAATGAGTTTAGCGGAACGCCTTCAACATTCCGTGTTGATTCAGCCTCTATCTAAACTGTTGCCCCAAAGTAGGTTGTCGTTCCGTGCGTCGATCCAAATCTGTGCGAACATTTTTAATGATTCGGCTCTTTATTGGCAGCGTGCTCCATTGGACATCAGCCTCGATGCCATCTGGTCGTCGCTGGGGTGTAACCAGATGGATATGACACTGC